GGTCCTCCGACGTGATGTCGAGAGTGACCGACTGAAAGGGAACATGTGCTAGCTATCTCATGATGCTCTTTCTTCTTCCTTCAGCTAGCTTTTTTCTAGAAGTAACATTACTGGCCAAAGGTTTGGACACATTACTATTTTTAATGCTTTTGAAAGAAATCTGAGCCTGAATTTATTTGATCAAAAATATAGAAAAAAATTTGAAAAATTGTGAAATATAATAATGTGAAATATTATTACAATTTAAAATAACGGAATATATTATGTATTTCTGTGATGCAAAGCTGAATTTTCATCAGCCATTACTCCAGTCTTCAGTGTTACATGATCCTTCAGAAATCATCCTAATATGCTAATTTATTATCAATTTTGGAAACAGTTGTGCTGCTTAATATTTTTTCAGAACCTGTGATACTTTTTCCAGGAATCTTTGATAAATAAAAAGTGAAAGAAATTAATACTTTTATTCAGGAAGGATGTGTTAAATTGATTTTTTTTTAAGTTTATATAATAATTATATTTTAAAGTATATTAAATCAGCTAACCCTTATTTAAATTGTAATAATATTTCACAATAATACTGTTTTTATGTATTTTTTGATCAAATAAATGCAAGCTTGAATGATGAGCATAAGAAACTTCTTTCGAAAACATTAAAGGTACAGTGTGTAAATATTAGCGGCATAGCGGTGATGTTGCGAATTGCAACCAATGGTTCCATCCCCCACTCAACCCTCCCTTTAGAGAAGCTATGGTGGCCGATACAGGACTAAGAGACGTCTAAGTCTGAGACAGCAGAGAGTAGTCAGCAATGATGTATCTTTACAAAGGTAAAATAAGGAATTATATTTACTTAATTATTCAATAAAACGATATGTTATTGCAATTATTATTGTTACTTGTTGTTCATCATTGTGTCAGTGTTTTATTCGCAATAACAACATAGTGACGAAACACGCTCTGTTTGTCCTTACTGTGCAAACATGGTGGTGACTTCCATGTAAGGGGACCCGCAATGTATTTAGATATAAATTGCTCATTCTAAGTTAATAAAAACATTACGGTTCATTGTGTATGGCCTTTATACACCTCTGAAAACATAGTTATGTATATTATATTGCATTTCTGTCAACAGATTCTCCTAAATATTACACACTGCACCTTTACAAATAATGTATCCAAACCTTTGACAGGAACTGTATATACTAGGTTTGTTTGGTAGTTTGTTTTAGCAAGCATGCTGATAGTGGAGGATTTATTCATCTAGCCTATTTCTATTCATTTGCAACACTTGTAAAATATATTTGACATTCCAAAATATTCTGAACTGTTTAGCTAATTATTTATATATCTGTGCATTGCATTGCATAAGTGCTTTTACAAGCTTTTTTCTAATCTTACTCTACGGAACAATACCACACACACCATCTCATATGTGGATACATTTCACCTCAGCCAATGTGGAAAGAAAGGCTGTGTATAGTTGCAAATACTCTGCAAATTCCTATGTTAAGAATGCCACAAAGATGAAGCAGCCTACAACCAAGTGCCCAAAGTTTCCTCAGGGCTCAAAACAAGCAACCCCAG